GACGTCACATAGCAATCATGCTACACCTGCAATCCGTTGTTCCTGTTTTCCATTAGTCAGCAAAATTGTTTTCAGACTTCTACAGTAACCCATAGAACATTTCTTATAGTATTAGGAATTTTTTCATATAGTGTTCCAAAGTTAACCATAGAAAGATATAGTAACTGCACTGTCACTGCTATTATTCCGGGTGCTTGCATCAACGCTAGATTTAAAAAACAATCCCTTGGTTGTATAATGAACAGCACCAAGATGATTTGAAATCTAATTCATACAGCAAAACCCTACCTTCAGCCACAAGAAACGCTGCTCTATACAGCATTTGAGAGACCTGCAAACAAAACTTTTAATTATTTTTATCGCTAACACACCTCTAAAACTCATGGAGACTAATTTGAAGGGGCCTGAAAATGTGAACACTTGATTTAGAGACTGCAGGATCCAGTGCTCAGAATGCAATATACTACATATAGCCACTTGATCTTATTTGTTAAGTTTAAAGCAGGAAGTAGCCACACACTAACGCCAAATATGAAAAGACAATTCATTCTATCAAAAGCTAACATAACATGAAAACATACCTCTTGATAGTGTATATTCCTGAACAAGCAGGCAAACACACAGTCACTTATGGTCGCTTTCAGGACATTTAAAAGCTATTTTTGGAAAATGGCACAGACTTTTTTTTTTATTTCCATATTGCTGTGCACACGAAAGCCATGAATTTATATGATTTCCTACTGTTCTTATGAGTTGCACTTCTCCACTTACTCAGTTGCAGCTTAGGACCTAGAAGTTTCCCCATTGTATTACTGACACTGAAGCTCACACCATTTTTACTCTCAGCAATTACATCACTAATTTTTCATAATATCTATGCTAAAAGTAAGCAATATAGTATTTTTATTAAAATAACTAACACACTCCTTTTCCCATGTTAAAAAAAGTTTAACTCATGATAAACTTATCAAAACAGAAAGCCAATATGTTTCTTTACTGAATTACCATCAAAGTAATCATTGCATCTTGTGTTTCTTCCATTTCTGGACAAATATTCCAGGTATGGGAAAGGTAAAAGACAACTTTTATTCTCTGTCCTATGTACATTAGTCCACTAATAACAAAGCTTATACGACCCATAGCTTTTAAATAGGTCAGTTCCCTCTAGCACAGCAGAATTTAAATATTGCGATAGTCTTGTGGAGCACTATCTTCAAGACTGTCTCTTCCAAAGTAAATTTAAAGCCTTAAATACCAGGAATTATCTGAAGGTAATAATAACTAAATTCAGTGCTTTACTTCTTCAGAGGATGCATCGTCATGAACATTTGCAGTAGCTTAACATTAAACAGCAGTTTCACAGATCATACGTAATATTGCATAGCCTTAGACGTGGCCAACTAATTTTTACTGGGACTTTTTCTTGAGCCTCAGAGGTCATTACTTCTTGCCTTATAGAATCAGACGTCTCCAACTCAACAAATTTCATCAGACACAGAGGATGAACTTTTCGGCCTCCTCAATAAGCCAATATATATGCTTCCCTGCTTAGACAGAGGCTGAATCAGTTCCATAAATAAATACAGAGATAAGCTCCACTTTCCACAAACAATTCCCTGAGCCACTTAACAATTGCTTCTACATGGATACCAAAGCGTCCCGTTTGAAAAAATAAAGCAAGGAAGCTATTAGAGAGAGTGTCATATACCAAATATTTCAAAATCTTAAAAAAACATACATTTCATATATTTAAAAATGTATGTATACTGAAACATATGCAATGATGCACCCTACATATGGATTGTATCAGTTACATTTTATAGCATATCATGTAGTAGAAGCTGCTTGTTCTTCAGGGGCAAGCTATGGCTGGTGCTATGGTAGTGCCAGGTAAAACTAATTTTGTGATGATTACAGAAAGGCTTTTCTGAACTGTTTGGTTCTGAACTGTTTGAGTAGCAAGGCAAGCCTTTGCAAACAGCCCTAAAAGTAGGCCAAAATGTTAAAAAGGCATTGGGAATTGAAGGCACAGTTCCGAGGAAGGCTGGTCTATCAGATAATATTTGTGAAGAAATAAAACTAAAACCCACTGTTGAGCCCAGCATTACCCAGAATGAAGCATGCCAGTGGAAGATGACATCTGAACAGCTGGCAAGCACAATTGCCTTGAGTGCAAAGGCAGATGCTATCTTCTGTGGCAGAAGCTAGTTGAAAGCCAGAGAAAATACAGAAAGTTTTATCAATTAGTGGAATAAAAAAAAAAGTAGATAGAATTTCTGTGTGTCTTTAGATGAAACCACGGAGCCTGATAACAGGAAATGGAAGAGAAAGTTATTCATGACAGACTGCACACCTCATGTCTGAGCAGACAGGGTATTTTGAAAAGTTCACGGAGTGATTACTTTTCTAACTCATAATCTTTCTCATTTACTGCCTGAAATGCAGCACATAGTACGTAGTCACTGTTCCCTAGACACACAGATGATACTTTCTATGTAGGGAAAGCAGCTTGACTATGAAATAAAACAGAGGTAATGGCACGGAAAGAAAAATAACACTGGTTTTCCAGGTTAGGTTAACTTGAAGTAAAACAACAACCCAATACGCTTTAAAATTTCTGCTACATGCATGGTTTTAACTGTCACTTCCTTTTTTAATTCTCAGAAAAAAACTTTCTTCTGGACTACTTTGCTGACACCTAGTGAGCCTCAGGTCGAACAGCTTCCGGCCCACAAGCTCCTAGAAAAACAGAGGTGGTAACAGAGCAGCTGCTCTTTCACTCTACTTGCAGTTAAATATTTTACATGGCCATGTCTGTGATTCAGCAGAGTGCTGAATTGTATATCAATTCAGAGAACACTGTAATACCAACAAGACGTAAAAATGTAGAAAGATGGTAAAGAGGAGAAACGGAAAAGAAGCCCAATGAAAAGAAGTAATAGTCAAAGTATTTGTCACTCAACCTAAATACCTTTTACAAGTATAATTGACTCAAAGAAACTTGCCACTGGTTGTGAGTTCAGTCTTATCCTTTTTGTGCCTCACATATCTAACTGGAATATCTCAGTGCCTGTAACTTCCAGCTAATGATTCCTTTGTTGTTTGTTTTTATAAAATATAAACTGCAAGGCAAGTCCTTACTATTGTCTCAAAATTAAATCCAATCTAACCCTATCATTACAATAGTATAAACATGTCACTCTATCCCTGACTTAGTTTGGGAGAACAGCAATTTCACATGACTATCTCAGCTTCACTGATGTGGCTTCAATATTGCCTAGAAAACAGGCATCAGATGATACAGCATTTTCTGATGTCAAGAAATTCTGCAACTTACAATGGACACAAAGGTAACTTCAAAAAAATATCAACCTCCTGTTTCTTATAGAAATTGAACAACTGAACCTAAATGCTGACTACTTGAGATAACAATGATGAATAAGATCACAGTTTACTTCCCTGAAAAATGGCTCCAAGAGGTCACGATCATTACTGTGGCATAAAAAAAGGGAGAACACACACTGCTACCACCTGTGATGTAAGTTAGTCTCCTGAGAGCTGCTGGTCCGGAATTTTTACATTTGTTTCTGAATACATGGGTCAACTAACCAAAAACTTACAAAGAGCACAAATGTCTGGATGCTTAAAAACACCTATACAGAGCACGCTGTGCTGCTCTAAACTTTCGGTATAATGAATTTAGGGTAATTAAACTTAACTTCATAGATATAAAAGAAGCCATTGAAGCAAATGCTATGTAGTTCTCTATCATAAACATAACAGAGATGCTAAGGATTGCATAGGCTGAATACGACTACAAAACAGTACAGAATACACAATTCTGTTAGAAAATGTATTAGCTAGAGCCTACGGGGTGCATTTTTCTTACAGTGTTCATGACAGTAGATGTGCCTCTCTTCTCAGACACTGCTCAAGCTGTCCGCTGTGGCACCCAAACAGCCACTGCGACTTTCCTTCCTTGTCAGACTGTTATCTTGTCTTAGGCACTTCACCCAGTCAGAACTTAATCCTGCATTTAAATAGGAAGTTCAGTCTCTTTGTTTCTTTCTCCGAGGCACAACAATCAAAATAAATATTTCCAGCTAGAGAAGAGCGTGCACTTAAAAATGCTCTGGGATTATCCTCTTAACTCTCACATTCTGGCTGCTGAACCTCTAAGACTAAAAAGCAAATTGTGTCCAAAACACTTCTATCTATAATGTGTATTTTATGCATGTAAGATTACCAGTTATCAGTGAAAGATAAAACTGTTCAGACAAAACATCAGCTTTTTATATAGTATTGCCTTGCAACTATATTAGGAATATTATATTTGAGCATTTAGATCTAGACCTTAATCAAAGCCTCAGTGTCTAAGCAGCTTTTTCAAAGTTGCAATTAACTGTCTATAAGTGCTATATACCCTTTTTGCTTAACTACATTTAAGAGAGATTAATTGAACTTATTGATTTATAGGTCAGACACTACTACACGTATATTTCACCTATATCCATGATAAATCTCAGACTCAAACTCTATTACACAACTCAATAAACAATAACCTTAAAGTTCCTAAGTGATTTTTCTGTTGCTAAATTTCAAATAAAATCTCTGTCATCAAAAGGCAAATTAAAACTTTCATTTTGTGCAAAAGAAAAATATTTTTATTAAAAGTATGCTTTTACTGTATACATATTTAGTATTTTTCATAACTCACTTGGTTTGGCCTGAGCTGCAAAAGATTATTGGTATTAGTTAATGAAAATAAGTGAACCATTTAACATGTCATTCTCTAAGATGTGTACTAATTGTAATTGATATATCCAAAATTATCACTTCTACATTTACCCTTTACAACGATAATTATGGGCTTTAAATAGTATAATCAAGGAAATAATACATTCCCACCGAAAAAAAAGAAAGTGAGAAGAGAAACAGACCAGGCAAGATCATTTTATGAAACAAGTTCAGGAGCAGAGCTGCTTTTATTTCAAAAGGTTTTACCCCTTAGTCTTAACCTTGTTTAGATGAATGGCAGAAACTGCTTTGTTCTCATTTTGCTTGTCTTGATCCCTCCTCAGGTCTCTGTTATCTCCACTTAATGCCAGGAAAAATTTCTTCTTGAGAAAAAGCATGAAGATGGTTTTTATCGACTGTCCCATTGCTGTAGCTTGGCTTGTAAAATCCACAAGGTGCAAGATAGAGTAGCATGCACCAAAGCCCTGAACTGCCTAAAAATAAAGACACTTATACTGTTTCTACGCTTTTCACTGCAATATACCAACAATTTAATCCTTGGGTTTTGCATATACAAACAATTTAATCCTTGGAACATACCTGATTTTCATATTCCCAATGCACCCACACTAGAAAAAGAAATAAAACCAGTCCGATTAAATTCACTGAGAACTGCATCCAAACACCAGACGCCTCCAGTTCCTCAACACAAACCGTTAAATGCTGCCACTTGCAGTGTAGCCATAGGCACTGTGAGTCCATCACGCAATCAAGCCTTCAAGACAATTTGGAACTGTAACAGAATTCTCAAAAATGTGATACAATAATTGAAAACACAATATATGCCTGAAATTTTCCTATCTAGTGTGGGAAAAGCAGAAGTACACATACATGTCTAACATCCAGCATCTGCGTAACATATTGCCAGTCTCAGTAACTGTTTTGTAGTTCAATACACAGGTGACATTAGGGACAAAGTAATGTATTTTTGTTTTATATCAAAAAAATAGATTAGTAAATTTACCAATTTTCATTACAATGCAGTCAACCAGCAATATCTTAACCAGACTAGAGAGGCGGGCACACTGCCTCTTCATACAGAATACATTTTTTGATTCATTTGAATAAATGCTTCTGGTAAAAGCACAACAGTACAAGAACTAGAATAGCAAGTCAGTTACCCTGTTGTATTTATAATATGTGCTCTTGTAATGCAGGCATAGTCAGGAACCAAGCATATGCCAACTCTTGTAAAAGAATTCTACCATAAATAAATCTACAGAGATACTGCAGAGAGTCGAGTGAAGGGCCATAAAGGTGATGAAGGAACTTGACCATCTCTCCCATAAGGTAAGTCTGGGCCAGCTGTGGGACTGTTCAGCCTGGAAAAGAGAAGGCTGAGAGGGGATCTTATTAATGTGTATAAATACCTAAAGGGAGGTTGCAAAGAAGATGGAGCCAGACACTTTTCAGTGGTGCCCAGGGACAGGCCCAGAGGGAATGGGCACAAACCAAAACACAGCAGTTCCCTCTGAACATCTGGAAACTACTGTGAGGATGACTGAGCACTGGCGCAGGTGCCCCAGAGCAGCTGTGGAGTCTCCTTCCTTGAAGAAATTCAAAAGCTACCTAGACACAGTCCTAGGCAGCCTGCTCTAGGTGACACAGCTTGAGCAGGAGGTCGGACCAGATGACCTCCAGAGGTCCCTGCCAACCTCAGCCTTTCTGTGATACCACAACTAACATCCCCAGTTACAAGTAAGAGGCCTAGAGAGCATTTTCCCAAAAATAAAAATAATTCAACAAATAGAATATACAATAAAATATTGAGGTGATTCTGATCCATCCCAACTTTCTCACATGACCCTCCCTCTTCCCTTTTTCTCCAGTCTTTTTTTAATCTTCTCAAGCACAAGATCTCATCCAATACGTAGTGCAAAAGAGCATCCTATTCATGAAGTAGTATTCTGAGAAGATCTCAGACTCTGTATAAGACTTCATACACCAAACACAGGTTGGATATTTCCAGGGCCTGGTTTTCCGTCTGGCCGTTTTGGTACGAGACATGAAACCACTGCTCACCCAGTGAAATCAGCTAGCTCCTGTAGCATTATTATTAGCCTTTTGATTTTTTTTGAAGGGTAAAAAAGGAGGACACTCACTCAAACATACCTAGAAACAAAGCTCAACTCAGGATTAATTTTCTCACTTAGTGTGCAGAGATCAAGCATAATTTTTATCGTGCTGGCATAACACAGTGTAGCACTAATGCCAATTGATCAAATTTTTGCAATCCAAAGATCACCAATAAGGATTTCATTTCCATTATGTTCTATCGTATCTCCTCCTATTGTGAAAGTTCTGTTGTTATGCATAGATCACATAACTCTTAATTGGCTTCTCACTTTATCCAAACAACAAACATACTGAACTTCAAACATAACTCACCCGAGACATCTTTCTTTGGAAGGATAAAGAAAAACTTTCTCTTCCCTCAGAAAGTAAGGCTTACTGTGCAGAATTTGGAAAACAAAATGAAAAATGGAAAACATACTTCAAGTGTTCAGGTGTTTTGTTTTTTTTTCTTTGCAACGGTTGATTCTTTGTTGGCTCACTTTTTTTCCAGAATGATAAAATATCTTCTAAATGCTTCAAATGAAAGCTGAAAAACTATTCTATGATATATATTTTTGATATTTATTATTATTCTATGTAGTACAGTCTACACAGCGTAGAGTATATTTGAAAGATTAGGTCACTTATTTTAAAATATTCATAAAATTTATGAGGAATTTCAAAGGATTCTGATAAAGCTGTAACATCTCCACCTTATTCAAAAAGTTATTTTACCACTAATTTCTAAGAGAAATTTGTATATTTGTTTTCAAATATTCTCCAAAATCATGTATTTATCTTGCCAAATATCAGAAAGAAGGAATGCCTTCTGTAATCCTGCATTTCTCCAGACCCTCAAATTCATAGTGCTGCATACTTAATAACAGCACAATTGATATCTGGAAATGTTTTTCTTGAGTAATCCATTCAGTACCAATAGCAGAGCTAAACGCAGAGAAAGTACATCCAGTTCTATAATATGTCAGGGCTCGTTATTTTATTGATATTCCTTTCCATAGAAACATTTTAATACCCACTACTGCTATGAAGATGAACAAGAAACAGTGCATTTTTTCACCTGTTTGAAGCCATATGTCAGCAAGCAGCAAGGGCAGGTTGCTTGGAAAGGGAAGTGGAGCTGGGAGCCAAGAGTCACAGCAGGACAAGGCTCTCTCTGACAAGGGCACAGTCCCACAGCACCTGAATAACAAAGCAGAGCAGGTCCGTGACAGCAACCAAGGCCAGCTAACGTATCAATGACTACCAGATGATGTTGTAATAACAAGGCAGATCTGAGGTCACACCAGAAAGTTGAGTCAGCAAGGCAGGGCCTGATCTGATTAGGGTAACCAGTCTGCCACAAATCAGTGATTGCCAGGCAAGTCTGTAGTAATGAGGCAGGTCCAGTTTCAGCTGAACCAAGCTGTCCCCCAGCCCAGGCGGTGAAACCCCTAGGAGAGCAGGATTATGCACTCTGGCCCCTGACATGATACTGTATTTCAGTATTTGATACCGTATTTCAGATTGGGGACAATCTTTTTAGTAGAGACAGCAGTGACAGGACGAGGGGTAATGGTTTTAAACTAAAACAGGGTAGGTTTAGGCTGGATAGAAGGAAGAAATTCTTTACAATGAGGGTGGTGAAACACTGGAATGGGTTGCCCAGAGAGGTAGTGGAGGCCCCATCCCTGGAAACATTCAAGACCAGGTTGGACAGGGCTCTGAGCAACCTGATCTAGTTAGC